TTTATATTTATAATTAATTTTGACATGTATAAAAGGTGTTTAAATATTTTTTAAAAAAATATAATTTATAATTTATAATTAATTTTAACATGTAATATGAATATTTAGATATATTTTTACAAAATCATGGTTTTACTTAATTTTTAATTCTGCTTTTTAATTTTTCTTTTTAATTTTACTTTTAAATTTTAATTAAAATCAATTTTATTAATCAATTTTACAAACCAATTATATATCTCATAACATACTTAATTATATTTAAAATTAATTAAATCAATTAATTTTTTAATAATCAATTACACCTAACTAAAATCCAAACACACCTCAATTTTTGTTGGATAAAATTACCTATATCTTATTTTTGGATTAATAAAAATTTGAATTTGGACCAAATTTTTTATTAAAACTTACATAAATTCTTGAATTTAAATTTGATTTAAATTTAAATATATTTTTTATTATAATTTTAAATTCATTGTACAACTTAGTTATTTTATTAAACCAACTCATTGTAAGGTCTGAAGTTTAAATTTTAAAATATACATTCACGTTAAATAAATGTGATAAAAACATTTTTAATATATCTATGAAACTATTGTCGGTAACAACGGTCTCATATAATAGGGATTTAGATTGGTTTGATATGGAAATAATAGTACTCCTTTCTTAGACACGGAGCAATGGAATATAAAAAAATCAATGCATGGCAAAGGCACGAGTTGGCAAATGCAAACATGAAAATACATATGTTTAACTTTGTACTAATAAAAATTCCAAGCATATCATTTTATTTTGTCATATTTCACAATCATATAAACATATGTTGATTCCGAATTGATCTAAACACTGCACTGACTTCCCAATCTCTCGCCTCTTCCCAACATTAATCCATTTGAGGGATTTAATTAGAGAGTGGGTGAGGTTGACTACTAAAGTGCAGGAGGTTCGAACTAAGATGGGTTGTCAATATAGAAGGGAGTGTACACTCTGTCCATTAATTTTTTTTAATACAACTATTCAAACTTATTATTTCATGTTTAAATATTATTAAAATTAGTTAAAGTGACGGTTTTCATGAATTTATTTTAGGATAAATATGTATTTTTGAATCTAAATCATTCTCCAAAAAAATTCTAACACTCTAAACTATTAATTGGAGCAATTTTATTCTTAAAGTAATTAAAATGAAATATTTTTGTCCTTATCATCAGATTCTCAACATCAACGATTAGAAAATACTATTTAAGACTTCAGCGTTGATCGTTGGAGAATTTAACAATAAGGACAAAAATACTCTAAGGTTAAAGAACAAAATTGCACTGAAACTTTTTTTTTCAGGGACGCTTGACATTTTAAAATTTTTTTAGGAGTATTTTTGCCCCAAACTTTTTAAAAATAGAGTATTTTTGTCCCACTATTAAAAATTAGAAATGTTGACCATTAATTAAAGTTTGACCAAGGGTTAAATAGCATATTTGCCTTGAAATTTTTTTTTCAGGAGCACTGAATACCCTAAATTTTTGTTTGGAACTTATTTACCTTAAAAATTTTAAAAAAAGAGTAATATTTGCCCTAACTAAGGGTTAAATGCTCTCTTTTTAAAAAGTTCAAAACAAAAATGTTCAAAAAAAAAGTTTAGGGTGCCAAACGCCAGTAAAAAAAAATTTTAGGATAGTTTTGCCTTTTAACTCAATACTTTATTTTAATTATTTTAAAATATTCTTTAAAGAATACTTTAAAAATAAAAGTGTATCTTAACCCTTTATTTCAATGTAAGTTTCTAATCCTCAATCTTGTCAAAAAGAATCACGTGCTTTCATCATACACAATCAACATTAATTTTACAGTGGAAAAATTACACACAAGATTTAAATAAAAAATTTATTTATAAGCAAGTTTCATAGATTTATGAAAATATAATCAGGTCCTTGCTAACCTTCTTAAATTTTTCAAATGTGATTAGATTTAAATTGATATGAAAAATCTCACATCAAATAAAGCTTAGCTCAATAACTAATATAAAATAAAAAAAATTTAAAAACTTAAGTCTTAAAATTTTAAATTAAGATGTAACATCTCATGCTAATCTTGCCCATTTTCTCCAAGCCAATTATTTCTTGTGAGCTTATTTTTGAAATTATTCTTCACAAAATTTATAACTTGAGGTGAAATCCAATTCATGCATACCTCCACCCGTTACATATGCAAATCAAGTTTTTAATCTGTAAACTAACCAATCAGCACAAGCATATTCTTCACCAAAACACAGGGGCAAAAGTAATCAAGCCACAATGACCCCATCATCTCATCATTCATGTTTGCTGACGACAGCTTTGGAGTATTTTGCTTTAACCCAAAGAATTTTGATCCCTCATGTACCCTAGCATAGCAGATGTTACAGGCAATTAATCACATAGTAGTATATTATTAGGGGGGTTAGGATTTAATCAAAAGAAAGGCCGGCCAAAAATGTATATTTGCATAATTCTTAAAAAGAATTACATACTTGTAGGGTCATGGTTTCTATTGACCCTCCCTCTCTTTGTTATTGTAGATTATCAATCACGTGCAAAAAACTTCCGACGGGCCTTCCTTTTGCTCAAAATCATGCAACCCTATGTAAAATGTAAAGTGTAGATTACCTTGGCCCATATTTAGGGCCTGTTTCTTTTGAATTTTTTATCAAGAAATCACTTATTTTTTAAAAAATAAATCTATTTTGCAATATTTGCTTAAATTTTTTAAAATAATTAGTATCTGCACAAATTTTTTAAAATTATTTTGAAAAATCATTTTAAATAACTTCTGGAAATAATTTGATGTGATACATAAGAGAAAATATCATAAAAATACAAAAATATATGAAAATAGTATAAAATTTTAAAATAACTAAATGATAATCCTTTTTATTAGTGTAATGTTGTAACCAAATATAATAAATTTTAAACAAAAATTAATTATTTTTAATTCTAAACAAACGAGTCCTTAATTAAATATATGCAATAAATTTTATAACAAATTATTTTACTGTGTGATTTATTTATATGTTTCCGTACAATTATGAGGAAGTATATTTACAAAGTAAAACTTATAAGAAAAAAATGTTATTCATAATCTAAAAAATGTGATTTATTCCTCTAATTCTTAAAAAAAATTGTAATTCTTGAAATGAAATGAACAATTCAGACCAAAAAAATCTTGAAATAAGCAAACAGCAATCTATTCTCTTGCCCCTTGATTATGTGGAAGAAAAAACCTTTTAAGAGAAAGTTATGAACATGATTTTATTTTTCTGTTTAATATCCTCTTTTTGATACTTTTCATATTTTGTTTAATGTATGTTAAGCAGAGTAACAGAGATAATAACTTGCAAGAAATAAGGAGAAAAATCTTTTCCAAAATAATCAACCAATACAATAAGACATGCATGGGACTTGTTTTAAACTGTTTTTATTTTATTATTTTAAGAATTGGTATTTTGAAAAATATATTTTGAGAGTAAAAAATTAATGAAAATAGGAGCTTGTTTGGCAACCTGTTTTGAAAAGAGTTTTCTATTTTTCAGAATAAAAAAATAATAAAATTTATTTGATAATGTGTTTTCAAAAAATATTTTAGAGAATAAAAAATAAAACAATATTTTGGAGAACATAGAAATAAAAATATTTTTTAAGTGTTTTGAAATTATTATTATGGAGAAGAAGGGAGAATGAGAAAAACAACTATTTTTATTTTTTTTTAAACATGTTTTATAAAACACCAATTCTCAAAATCATAAAATAAAAATAATTTCAAATAGACTCTAGGTGTTTTTCATATTCTCTCTTTTTTTCTAGAACAATAATTTCAAAATATTTAAAAAGTATTTCTATTTTTATGCTTTTTAAAATAATATTTTATTTTTTCATTCTCTAAGATATTTTTTTAAAATACGTTATCAAATGATTTCTATTTTTATTTTTTATTTTAAAAAACAAAAAAACTATTTTTAGAACAAGTTACCAAATAAATCCATAGATTTTATTTATCTTTTTCACTCATTCACACAAACACACACACGTACGTATAACGAGAAATGATATCTAATTCTAGGCTTAGAATGTTGGGCTAGTCTTAAAACATTCAGCCGTTTTTCCTGACTTCAAAGGACCAGCTTGAGGATGTTTGAAATTTAAAAAATTATTTGTGCACTTTTGAACTCCGAAAGTTTTTTTTCCCTCAAAACACACACACACCTACACCTATAACATATCAAATTACGTGAGATTAAATTTTAAGATTGAACTTGAGGGCAATAGAAGCAAAATAAAAATGAAAAAAAAAAGGTAGAAACTAAAATGTATAATTGAACAATCAAAACCGAAAATTTTAATCTAACGGAAGAGGCTTGTATCTCCTGTGAGAAACTCAGATTTGAATCCCTTAACATTGTTTTTCTCTATCCACAATATTCAGAATCTCAGCCTTATTTACGTAGAATTGAAGACATTTCCTTAGTAGTATTTTAATTTACATGGAATAGGCAGAGAATTAGAATCAAAATTGTGATTTGACCAGTACCTATCAGAAACATTGGAAACACTAACCAACCATAGCGTTGCTTAAAATTAACATCTAATTTTCATCAGAAGGATCAAGCTATCAGTTTCAATTTCTTCCCTCTCACTGAACATAATTAGAATCATCATTCTGGTAAAACGAAGGCTTTAACACTTGCCACCATTCACAAGTGTTGGTAAAGTTAAATCTTAATGTTGGGTTCGCCACCAACAAAAGGATCCTCTTATAGGGCCGACAACTGAAATTCATATGATGGTGGAGCCATAATTATGTTCAATAGAACAGTTCTTTCTCAAACTCAGAAAGGAGAATGAAGAAAGAAGACGAAATAAATCTCCTGCACAAAAAGATATAAACCAAACATGGCACAAGCATCATCATCATCATACGTGAGCACCCTATGCTAAGAATGGAGGCTGACAGTATCAGAATAGAGGAGGTGAAAATGCAACCAAAATCTGAATAATGTATAAATAGATGCCAAGTACATGAACTGCAGAGTTTTTCTGTGCCCCGGGGAAAGAAATTTAAGGGCAAAAAACTAAAAAAAGAAATAGGGGGAAAAGGAACAGAGAGAGAAGATAGAGATGTTAACCAGTTCTTCTGATCCATATTGCTCAGCCATGAGTATTAACAGCCTCCCACAACAAATTCTTGACCACAGGGTTAGCCAGATCCCTGGCCTGCAGAGCAGCAGTTCTGAGAGTCCTAATGGTCCATCTGTTGGCTTCCAAGAACGACAAGCTCCTATAAGGCAAATTATGCTTCTTGCAGAGGTCAATCACCAAGGGAGAAACCTTCCTCAATTGGCACCTAGGAAGCCTTGGGAACAAATGGTGCTCAAGCTGAAAATTCAAGCCACCAAAGAACCAGTCCATCCAGCTAGAACAAGAGATATCCAATGTGCCACTAGTCTGCTTCTCAAACCAGTCATTACCATTTGGTGGCCCAACATATACATTAGCAGCAAAATGGTTCAGACAGAATTGAATGTGCTGAATGGACGTGACTGAGAAGCTAGCTAGCACAAACATGACCCTTTCAGGCCAATTTGGCAGGCAAAAAATCAGGAGAGGGAACCAGGTCCAGAACACAAGAATTCCCATTATGTTCAAGGCTCTATCTGGGACAGGGCGTTTTGAGAACAAAAGCAGAAACGTCTGAATGAACAGGTTAATCCTGCCCAGGCACATTACAGGGTAAAATGTCCAGTGCTGGTAACTGATAAGGAACCTGGACAGAGAATCAAACTTCAAGGTCCTACCATAGAAACGAGATGTCATGGAATTGAAGAAACGGGAAGATACAGCAAAAACAGGGATGTGTTGCAGATCAGGATCATAATCAAGACTATTGCAAGCAATGTGATGCGCATTGTGAGTCCACTTCCACCAGGCAATGCTTATACCAGTCAAGCAATTTCCAGAAATTATTTGAGCAAGTTTGTTATAACCCCGGCTGGACATCACCTCATAGTGACCAGAATCATGACCCACATACGCGCTTTGCATCCAAAGCAAACCCAACAACATAGCAGAACCCAAATGCGCCCACACGCTAGTGCATCTCAAAACACCATAGAGAACAACGAGGAACATGACAGCAACAAATGTGAGAGTATAACAAGTGACATGCCCTTTCTTTTCAAAAAGGCCCAATTTCGAAAACTCCGATGCGAGCCTCCTGTAATCTCTGGACACATCGGAAACCTGGAAATCCTCGAGGTAATACCCAGTGAAGAGCTTGTCCAGATATTTCCATGCGGTACCAGGATGATAGGCAACGAACGCATCGGTGACATCTTGGCCAGCAAGATTCAACAACGGAATATCCCCACCAGGATGCTCCTTAGCCCAACCTGTGACATCGTAAACCTTACCTTGCACGGAGATCCACAAATCCCCTGGCTTGTTGTGCCTTTTGAGCTCCTCGACGGTAATGTACTTCTTCTCAGCATCCATTGTGTCAGAAATATATAGCGGCAGAGAATGAGAAAAACAATATGGTTAAACGCAGCCAGAGATGGATAGGTTAACCTAATTCTGCTATGCAAGAGAACCCAAATCAAAGAAATCCCAAACTGGGATTTTGATTTGATCTGGTTGAGATCCCTCTCTGTCCCTCCCTCCCTCTTTATCTCCACTTTCACAGGCCTCTTTATTTGTCAAGAGTGCTTGAACGCCTTTAGGCTATATGTACGTTACAGCACGGGGGAAAATAAAAAGAAAGGTTCTGGCTTTGTTTAGCAACGAAGCTACCTTTGGAGTGCCAACAAAAGATGTGGTCGTCGCATTTGCAATTGCCTGGAAACTCGAGAGTCGAGGGAAAATGCGCTGGAAGGGAGGTCCACGTTACGTGGTTCAGTTACGAATCAACGGTCAGAGATGAGGTCACAGGACATTTAACGTGGACTGCCTTGTTGGGTATCTAAATGAGTACGAGACTTCCGAGATATTTTGTTCCAGGCTATTTAAGTATTTAACCTCACATGGGACGGGATTATAGAGAGGGAATCAGAGAAACAGTGTATGATGCTGATGCTGGAGAAACACCGTGTGAGGAGTAAATTCTAAATTGACACTTGACAGGTTTACCCTTGGGGGAGAAAAAAAGCTTGACAGGTCTGCTCATTCGATTCTTTTTCTGTTAGAACTTAAAAGGTTTCAATGGAGTTGAAATTATTTTTAACCCTCTTTTTTGGATAACTTTTGTACTAAAATTTGGGGAGTAAACTTAAGAGTTTTTTATTATATATTTTTAATTAAAATTAAAACACCTCTGATGACGGCGTAAGTGTGTAAATATGATTTTACCAAAATTGTGTAATTTAAAATTAAATGTTATACTTATCATGCTATAATTAATAATTATTAGTTATGATATAATTTTGTAATTTTTGGCCAATATTAATATAATTTTATTTTTTTGGATAGGAGAGATAATTTGATGTTAGCTAACCTCCTTCATATATACCTCATCTCATCTCTACAATCAAGGGTATCTTAGCTAATTTATACATGATGATTGTGAATGACTTTACTTTAAATCTACACAAATAAAAAAGAAAACTTTCCTCTGATGTTTGATTTAATGATTAATTAATGCAATGATTGTCAAAACAAAAGGAAAAAATAAATAAAACAATGGCTCTTAAATTTTCCATTTTATATGCTGCAATTATTTATATAAATTAAAGAAAGCAATTAAATAATTTAATACATCAAAAAGGGAATACTTTTTACACATGATTTTGTTGATTATTAGTATTTTCATTAGCTAAAATTGTGCAAACTCCAAGAATTCTTCTGATATAGTACTGAATTGCCAAATTTAAATCCAACCAAAAATAATAATGCGCCTAGATTTGAAAAAAAAAAATCTATATATTCCTTGGTAATAATGTTTGAATTTGAGTTTTATAAATAAGAAAAGACTCTCTCGAAAAGTTTGTTTCCATTTTAAGCATAAAATAGTTTAAATTTGGATTCGCAGCTACTCTTATTGAATATAAGACAAGTAATTTTAAAAATTAAGAATGCAATATAAAAACCCAAATAATCTTGATTATAATAAATAACACTAGGGGTGTTCAATCTGGACCCGTCCCGATTGGCCCGGTATCGTCCCGATCATATCGGGACGGGTCTTGTCCCGACCCGAAAATAATCGGGACGGGACTTTACGGGACGGGACAGGAAAGGGGTTCGGGACGGGACGGGACACGGGATTACCATCGGGACGTCCCGTCCCGTCCCGAATATTATATATATTATTTTTTATTTTAAACATATTAATTATATTAATATAATTTATACTTATATTAATTATATCAATTATAATTTTAATACTTACAATTCTTATTTAAAACTAAAGTATTTTTATATTGATAATTTTAATGGTATGGAGTAAACATGGCGATATCTTTTTTATAATATATTAATTATATTAATATAATTTATTCTTATATCTATCTATTTAATAACTTTTATTTATAACATACTTCTTGCTTATTTTTAGAAGAGTAACTAGCTTAGTATATCTTCACTAAAGTAGAAGAACAATTATTTGATATTGTATTTGACTTGCCTGTTGTTGCTAATTTTATAGCATAAAGATCACTTGTATTTTTTATTATAATATGTAGTTGTGATTAAAATAATTCAATAATTGATTTTAAATTATTGTTATTTATGTACTTGTGTTATTTTGATTTTAAACTTAATAAATTATATAATTTAAAATTTTAATGAACATTATTATTCAGATCTTTTTTCGATATTATTTCATTTATCGGGACGGCGGGACGTCCCGATCTTGTCCCGGTCCCGTCCCGACTCTTAACGGGACGGGACGACTTTCGGGACGGGACGGGACACGGGACCAAAATTCAGTCCCGATCTTTTTTTCAGGACGGGACACGGGACGGGGGTGTCCCGGTCCCGTCCCGTCCCGTGAACACCCCTAAATAACACGATTAGTTGTCTTATTTTTTTATAATTTTAGATGGACTCAACGAAGTCGGCGAGTGTGACTTTTGGCAATTGGCCAGCTCTCAAAATTGCGGAAAAATCTATTTTGGCCTTTTGGGATGCTCCGCTTTATAATAGCATTAGGTTCTGAAAAGCACGAGGTACTGAAACGACAAAAGAGAATCAGATTCGAAGCCAAGAAAAATAATAATACTCAAAGGGAAAGCCACGTGGCAGTGACTAGTGTTATTTTAATTCCTTAATTAATAATTAATTATTCTAAATGTAAGACATTTTTTACTGAATCTCACTTTAATAAAATATTTACTTGTCTTCAAACTAACTTTATTTTTTTTATATTTATCTCTATTAATGAAATATTTTACCTTAAAATAAATATAAAGTGATTCATTTAATAGGAGACACATTTAATAGAAAAAAATGATTACCTTTTAAAAAATTAAAATATCTTACATTTTTTAACATCTAATCCCTTAAATAATACTTTATATTTTTTTGAATGGAGAGGGTCTTTCATTAGGTTTAGTATTAGGGAATGAACTTTTGGGAATATTGATAATAAGACCTTGAGCCCATTTGTTTTAACTTATTTCATATTATTTTATGAGTTTTTATTATATTTGTTTAAACTTTTAAAAGTAATCAGAATAAGAGAAAAATTTGATTATTTTAAAAAAATTACTTTGAATAACTTATAAAAATAATTTAATGAGGGAGGGTTCAAAGTAGCTTTTAAAATTAATCTAATACAATAAATGGGAGAGTGTTTTAAAAAAATGAGACATGCAATAATATCATAAAATTTTAAAATAATTTAAAAACAAATTATTTTTATAAAAACAAAAATAAGAAAGATATTATAAAATTTAAAAATAACCAAATAATAATTATTTTTTAATTTTTATAATCAAATATAAAATAATATATGCTTTTTATAAAATCTCGATTAAAATATACATTTAATTTTTTAATTTTATATAATATTTTATTTTCATTCATTAATTTTATAAAATATTTTTTTAATCTTTTAATCCTAACAATATTAATTTTATCTCAATAAATTTTTATATTAAACTTTTAAATATTGATAAAATATTTTTAAATATTGACATATTAACTAGTATTTAAGTTTTTTAAAATAACAATGAATGATATAAAAAATAATTATTTAAAATTAAAAATATTATAATTAAAGGATTAAAAAAATACATACGATTAAAGTGAAATTTTATATAAAGTTAAAGTATTAAAAATATACTTTAACTTAAAATATCAACAAAATAAATATTTTTTTATAAAATCTTCAAGTGATCTAAAATGACTTATTTTTAATCTTAAATAAATAATGGTTTATCATTTTTTTCTGTTCAATAGCTAGCAAGCATATTAATAAGAAAAAAAAAGTAAATTGTTAAATTATGGGGAGAATGACAAGTGATCTCGAATGGATATATTGCAAAACCATATATACCTTGAAATGAATTAGGGAGAGTCACATTCAATAATTCCTCAAAAAAAAATTATTCACAAATAAACATTACTACAAAATGAATTATTATTAAAATAAAAATATAACTTTTTTTAATAAGACTTATTGTTAGTTTTTATCCGTAAATAATTTTCTTAAGGAATCTTTGAATGTAATTTTCCTAATGGACTACGAAGTGTTTAGATTTTTTTTTATATAAATCATTTTAGAAAGTGACCATATTATTATCTTTTAAAAAAATCTCACAATTGTTGATTGCACAAGCTCTGGTGACCTGGCAACTTGAGAATCATTAATAAACTTGAAGACTGATAAAATAAATTTTAAAAAATTAGTTATTATTGGTTTATAGTTTTTTTGTCATTAGCTGAAACAAAATAATCACTGTCTTAACTATATCATAGGATGTATTTGCATTTTAATTTACCAAAATTCATTTGTTTAAAATTTATTTAACAAACATCAATGTGACAAAAATTAACTATTGTAGTAAAATTTCTGTTTAAATAATTTTTTTTTGAGAGAATGATGTTGAAGTTTTCCACAAAAAAATTAATTATTATAAAATTTATTAACAACTGAACTAAAATTATTATAATAGCTTTAGTTTAATTATTAGTAGACCTTACAATAATTAACTTTGTATATGTAATTTTTTTATGTTTCTTAAAGGTTAATTGGATAAATTGTAATTCAACTTAAGTGACAGTAAAATTACTCTCTCTGGTCTTATTTATAAGACAGAGAGAGGAGGAGAATTTTTTTGATCATATTTATAAGTTACGTCATCAAATTTTCACCATAAATTTTTTTTACCCTCTATTGAATATTGAGGAGAGAAAATATATTATTGAAATATATAATTTAATAAGGATCAAGTTAAAAACTTATTAAATTTTAAAATAAAATTAATAAATTTAATTTTTTTAATATTAATAAAATATATTGAAATTAATTTATAAATCGAACAGGAGAGTGTAAGTGAGGCCAAAACAAAACAGGCGGCTCAAACAGGTGGCTCTGCATCACGGTAAGAAACTTTGATGGCATGGCATGGGGTGTCGCATGTAACGTGAGTGTCACGTGGATGCGTGATGTCGTCTATTTATTATTGCTCGTGTTCTTACTAATTAGGTGGGTCCCATATTCACACGGTCCCTCAGGAGTCAGGCGTCAACCCCGGGCCTGGATGGACATGCCCTCTGAAGAATTTTTTATGCGTCATGTCCTTGCCCAAAACAATCTTGTTGATGCACCGAACTCGAACTC